AAACGTACTTGGCCACTGGGTCAGTCTTCTTAATGGTTTGCTGAGTCATCACTGGTCGGATGACTGAAACATATAAACATTTGATTAATTGTAAAACGGGGGTTTAATGTCATGAAAACAATAAGATGCATTGATCCATGAGGTCGCTGTCGACTTACAGGACTTGGGTTTGGGCCTGACGCCAGCGTCGCTTTGAGCTCGAGTCTGTCCAAAACGAAGCGACAGTAAAGTGACTTAATGACAATCATTTAATCAGCGGTAACCACAGAGTAGCTACACGTGTCTGTTCTTTAACACAAACAGGAAACCACCACATTACCCACCATGCCTCTAATGTAGGATTCAAAGGCGCTCAAAGAGATTCCCTCCGTCCCTGAGCTCTGTGTGTCGTTCTGACTGGCTGCGTCTTCGTTCTCCATCTCAAAGCTGCGGTGAGCCGCTGTTGGTAAATGAAGCTCCGCCAGTCGCTCCTCCAGACAGCTCGCTGCGTCTGCAAAGAAACATCCGTCACACACTCAGACATCAGGACTTCACTGGGTTAGGGTTTTTAAGGCAGAGCATCAGAATTACTGTAGAAGGAGAGTACGTCAACTACAAGGTGCACGGAGAAGGGACACTGATGAAGGCCTAAAGCCAAAACGAGTTGCAGGAGTTTTTAAACAGCTCCAAAAGATCCCAATTAACCAGAGAAGAAAACTTATTTAATCTGATCAGTTTTCTAGCTGGTCAACGTTTCAGACCAGTAAACTTCATAAAGCTGCTTCTAATGTTTAGTCTGCTACTGTATCTGAGATCTGCTCCTGTTCATTCCCTTCCTAACCTCCCACGTTACTCCATTATCAATAATCTGGTTTCTGAATCAAACAAACCTGAAACAGACATAAACATTAAATATGTTAATACAGTTCACTTCAAAGACCAGTGTGTGTATTTTAGGTTCAGAGGAATGTGAAATATGTGAATTTCCGACAGTTGAACATCCAGAAGCAGAACTGAATCATCAGTATGAGTCGACGTAAACCACCTGAATCTTCCTCTCAGGAACTCACTTTTTTTAATCTATTTTTATTGTTAATTTTAGCCTTTAACAAGCTGATATACAGATAGCATTAATGTCTCAAACTGGGAGAACGTTTTTACCCTTCTTCGGCCTGAGGTTTCCTTCCCACTCCTCACACATCTTGTCGTACGTCATCCTGCTGAAATCCACTTTAGAGTCGATAAACTTGATGTCTTTGTTGCTCGAAGACTCATCGGGATCCTCCGACTCCACATTATTCTGTTCTTTAAGATCTTGCACTTCTGCGTCTTGTCCACCATCGACCCCCGCACCGTCCAAATGCTTCTCATCCAACATGAACCCGTCCTCAGCGACGTGCTGTTGTTCCTCTGATGTTTCGGACGCTGCATGTCGATCTTCAAGTTTCTCAAGGTCTTTATCTTCTTCACGCAGACCGTCATCTCCACAGCACGCCACGGCGGCTTCGGGCTCGGCGTCAGCCAACGCGCTCAGCTCCACGGGTTCGATGTCAAACCCGCCGAAGCTGCAGAGTGAGAGGTCGTCCTCTTCGTTGTCGTCTCTCGTCTCCGACAGGTCTCCCCGACTGTCCTGATCGAACTCCGTCACCGTGTGGTCGTCTCTGTCGCCTCCTGCCTCCTGCTCCTCCGGTCTGTAGGTGCCGTAGCCGGAGGTCATCAGACTCGGAGCTGGACTATGACAACTGCTGCTACCGCTTTCTTCTTCGTCTTCATCATCGCCGTCACCATCGCTTCCGCCTTCCAAACTCTCCCTGCTCATGTTGGCCTTGCTCAGTTCAGGCTCCTCCTCCTCTGAAGCCTCCCGGAGAGAGTCCTCCGCGCCGCCAACAGGTCTGGAGTCTTGCTCGTCGATCGCTCGCTCAATCTCCACCACCTCCTCCTCCTCTTCCTGAGGCTCCGCATCAGACCAAAAACTGGAGTTGAGACAATCCTTGTCATCGTCGCTCTCGTTGTCCCACTGAGTGTTGTACATTTTGTACATGGTGGCGGCTCGCACTCCGGCTGAGGTGTGTGATCTGTGGAGGCAGAGGGCTTAAGGGACAGGCTAAGAGGATTAAACTGACATCCTTCAGAGCTTCAGCCTCTTCTGCTCGGCCTCTTCTCTAACCTGAAACAGCTCCAACTGCTGGGGACCAAAGGGATCACACCTCTGCTTCCTTGTGTTAATTCCTTTTACTTGATTCCACCATTTTTTTGGCCCACAACCGGATTCGTTTAGAGACGAGCGACAGGAACTCGACACAGGGATGTAGTAGTTACGTGATATTGGCGACTCAAACCACCAGGATACTTCAGAGTTTAGTTTAAATGTGTTTTAAATGTCTATATTGTTTTATTTCGTGTTTTTAATCAGGGTTCCCACTCTTAAGAAGTCCTTTTTCAGTACAGGACAGCACCGTTAGCCCTCGTAGGTGGTCAGACTTTGTTGTTTTACAAAAAATGTCCAGAATATTTGGTGATTTAATCCATTTTTAGGGGTTTCCATGACTAAATTTAAAGGTTTTCCAGGATAGGAACTCTGTTTTATGCTGCTTGCTGCAAAAATAATCTTCTTGTGTGGCAATAAAGATTTAACATGAAACTTTTAGTGAAATGTGTTACTTGATGATTGAATGAATGTTATTGTGCTGGAACTGGTTTTACCCATTTTATGCCGGTTCAGTGAATGTCACATTAAATGTTATATTTGATTGTTATTTATTATTATTATTATTATTATTATTTAGTAGTAGTAGTAGTAGTATAGAACAAACACTTTACATAGATGATTAGAAGCTTTTCTTGTGTGTTTTATGTTACCTAAATCTTCACTGTAGACTGATTCATCGCAGACAAGAGATTGTCCTTTATGTTTCCTAGTTGGGGGAAAAAACAAACAAACAAACAAACAAACAAACAGTATTATTGTTCTCATGCGACGAGTCACTTGATAATAAATTCAACTCTTCTGTTGTCAGTTATACAATTTTCAATTTAAATCCACTTTAT